TCCAGAAGCTGGCGACTGATCTACCTCACCCGGGAAGAGCGCAATGATGGTGCCAACTTGGGCCAGTGAAGCAACGTCCTCCACAACTAGACTGAAGAACGAAAGGACAGCAGCTTGTCTGTTCCCCTTCCCCCAATTCCTCAATACAAATCTTTAAAAAATAAATAAATAAAATAAATAAATCAGTAAGAGCATACTCTGTATCAGAACTGAGACCAGTTCCTTTACATATATTTCCTCATTGACTCTTCAGAGCCATTCTGTGTGGTAGTTATTATTTCCAGGCTCAGAAAGAGTATATGACTTACCTAAGGCCATATTATATAATAATTCATAACAGCTTTGTTTTAGGCCGAAATTGGAAATAATTCAAATGTTCACCAGTTGGTGACTGGTTAAACAAACCATGGTACATCCATCCCATGGATTACTATGTGGCAATAAAATGAACTACTGATACATGCAACAACCTGGGTGAACCTCCAGGGAATTATTCTGAGTAAAAAAAAAAAAGAAAACCAAACCCGAAAGGTTACATATTGTATGGTTCTATTTATATAACACTTTTAAAATAACAAAATTACAGAGATAAAGGACAGATTACTGGTTGCCTGCGATTGGGGATGGGGGATAGAGGAAAGGAATGGATATAATTATAAAGCAGCAGCATGGGAGATCTTTGTGGTGATCAAACATTTCTAGATATTGATTTGGTAGTAGTTGAACACATCTACACATGATAAAATTGCACAGGCCTACACACATACACAAATGAGTGCATATAAAAGGTGAAATCTGACTAAGCTCTGTGAATTGTATCAATGTCAATTTCCTGGTTTTGGTATTGTACTATAGTTATACCAAGATGCTACCATTGGGGAAAACTGGATGAAAGGTGCATAAGACCTCTCTGTACTATTTCCACAACTTTTTATAAATCTGTATTTCCAAATAAAAAACATTTAAAACAAATTATCCAAAGCCTCTGTCTGAAAGAGTTTGGGACTCATATTAGAGCTCTCCATAGAAATGGTCTGTGATCCACTGCTTGTCCTCTTTCGTTTAATCAACATTTACTGAGGGTCAGCTGGGAGTTAGGTCTTGTATTGGAAGCTAAGTGATACAAGATGAATGACTTATGATCCCTTTCCAAGTGAGTTCCCAACTTAGTGCTAATAAAAAAGCCTAATAAGAAAACAGCATTGGACTAGAAGTAAAAAGAATTCTGTCCTCGTGGAACTACTTACTAGCTTTTTGACTTTGGACCAATCCCTTGCCTCTTGGATTGACTTCTTAACCTGCAAAATTCAGAAGAATAGGGTTCATATAAACATATATTTTAAACTTAACCTGCAGTCAAGGATATCTGGAAATTACCTGAAATTGTATGCAGAAGTATGTAAGTGGATCACTCTTCTAGGAAGAGGCAATATATATATATATATATATACTCCCCCCCCCTTCAGATTCTGGGGGCTTACTGACCCAATAAGAGTTTAAAATAGCTGAATCCGATTTTTGGATTTAATCTTGAAGGCCCCTTCCATGCTAACATTCCACAATTCTAAAAGATCTCTAAGATCTCTCCTCCCATCTCTAATATTCTGATTCCAATAGAGATGGAAGAAATGTCCTCTTGGAAAAGGGAATGAAGTCTTGTGGTACTTGGAATCACGGAATATTGGATCTCCAGTCCATTTCTTCTGTGATTCCAACTATCACAAGAGTTCTTTCTCTTTCCCAAGATCCCAAGAAGACAGGGATTCAATTTTTCAACATGGAATTCTAGGCTCTTCATGATTTAACTTCCAATTGACCTCCCAACCTCAGCTTTCATCCCTTCCCTACGCCCTAACCACTACACTCCGTCTAGCCCGCAGTTTGGCCAGCTCATCCACTTTTTCAAGAAAATCCAGATTGCATGTGAAATCGCCCAATGTTTACATAGCAGTAACTAAAAAACATTAAAGACCCACTGCGATTTCCTTCAAGGTTTTCAGATTCTGGAAACTGTTCCGTGAGGATCCACTTCTACCTCACAGAATGTGCAGAGAGCACATCCTATGGAGGAGGCAAGTTTTATATCAGGGCCACAGGTGTGCTGATGGTTGTTAAACAGGCCCACTCATTCTGCACAGAGCTCAAAGGGACTGCAAGGGCCATACAAAAGCTTTTATACGGGGCCCTTGTTTCTCTCGAGGCCGTAATTTCCCTCTCTGTCAAATAGAGATACAAAACATATTTGTGAGTCAGCTGTCAAACAGAATATATTACTTAGTGAAGGGCTGTCAGAGCTAGTACATGCTTTTACCTGTATCGTCTCACTGAATTCTCATAATAATTTCTACGAGGTAAGTTCTATCACATCCACATTTCACAGGTAAGAAAACTGTAGCTCAGAGATAGCAAACAATTTACCTAATGAAGACAACAGCAAACATTTAAAAAGCCCGCTCTTTCCAAGGGCTTTACGGATTTAATCCTCTCAACAACTCTGGCCTACAGCAAATCAACCCTGCGATGGGGATTCCACCGTAGCATCCTGACTCCGATTCAATGGAAAAATAATGTAAACCGTATCTGTCATTTAAAACTTTTTAGTAGCCACATTTAAAAAGTAAAATGACTCAAGTGAAGTTAATTTTAATATATTTTATTTGACCCAATATATGCAAAATATTATCATTTTCAATGTGTAATCAATTGAGATATTTGTTTTATTTTTGTGTACTCAGACCCATGTGTACTTTAGATTACAGCACATCTCAATGCCAACTAGCCACCTTTCAAGGGCTCAGTAAGCACATAGCAGCTAGTGGCAATTACACGGAGCAACACGTTCACGGTGTATTTACTAACCCTAAAGTTAAAAGCCGAACGCTGAGAGCCATCTGTCTGTCCCCTGGTTTCAGAGGGCACACAAGCAATAATGGCAGAGTTCTGAAGCACTTACTTTGTGACATGGGAAGGGCATGGTTTACCACGTTTGTTGAGGGTCTTACGTTATAGTGTGTCTTCCTCACATTAGGATGGGGCTGCACTCCCCTTTTAACGGTGCAAGAGAACTTTCTGGAGTCGGGCACTCCCTCAATGCCCGACCGCCATCCCGCTGTCCCGCTCCCGACACCTGCCGGGCGCCAGCCCCTGCGAGCCCGTGGTTCCCCAACATCCTAATCAGGATGAGGCACGAGGGCGGGGTAGGAGCAGGTCACCTGCGAACTGAAGCGATCAGAGCCGGGAACCCCTTCGGCTTCCGTCTCCTTCTCTTCTTCCAGCTGCTCCTCCGGCTCCTCCTCCGACTCCTCCCCCTCCTCCGACTCCGGCTCAGACTGCTGCACTGAGGCGACATTGGCCCGCGACAGCACGCTCGCAGTCACCTCCTCACTCGACTCGCTAACGCGAGGGGGCGTCGCTTCCTGGAGCCGGGACTCGGCTTCCCGGTGCTCGCTAGCCGACTTCATCTTAGAGACGCCGGCGAAAACTTCCGCTTCCGTCGGTCCCTGGCGCTTCGCTGGCACAGGTGAGCTCTGTGCGCTCTCGGTGAGCCCCGCGTCCGCCTCCATCGAGGTCGCGCGGGCTCTACGCTTTAGCGGGAAACGTCTTCTTTCTCACCCCGCGCCCGCGCAGACGCAGTGCTGAGCACACAGCCGCGAACAAAGGGTGACGTTTAGAGCCGGAGTCATGGCGGCGACCGAACCGGTCTTGGCCCCTGGGAGCCCCGCGCCAGAACAAGAGAAAGAGGAAGGAGCCGGCCCGAGCTCAGGCCCGGAGCGTAACTCCGCGGGTTCCATGTCGACTCCTGAAGCGCCACGGCCTGACCCCGCACACTCCAACCAAAACGCCGCCGTCCCCGAAGCGGTTCTTCCGCCTCCCGCGGCGGCCTCCCCGGCCGTGGAGCTGCCCCTCCGTCCCGCACCCATGGGCTCCGCGCCGCTTGCCGAAGCCTCTCCGCGCTCCCCCTCAGGCCTTGGCGGCTCCCAGCCCGGTCCAGAGACGTTCCGCCAGCGTTTCCGCCAGTTCCGCTACCACGACGCTGCGGGCCCGCGGGAGGCGTTCCGGCAGCTGCGGGAGCTCTCCCGCCAGTGGCTGCGGCCCGACATCCGCACGAAGGAGCAGATCGTGGAGATGCTGGTGCAGGAGCAGCTGCTCGCCATCCTGCCGGAGGCGGCGCGAGCCCGACGGCTTCGCCGCCGCACCGATGTGCGCATCACCGGCTGAGCGGCGGAGCTGCGGGCGGCCTGGTCCGGAGGCGCTCTGGACTGGAGCCATGGTCGAGTCTGGGAGCCTGAGCCTGCTCCCCACTCCGCGTTAGTGAAAAACGAGTTTGTGTAGCCTCCTGTCGTCTGGTGTGTCCCTTTCGTTCGTTCTTTACTGGGTCTGTTTTCCCGAGCGTGTTTTCAATTTCCTGGCTAAACTGAGTTGGGAGCTATAAGAATAAAATCTGTTACCTAATCACTTGGCCTGCGTTGAATCATTACGCGTTGGCTAGCCTTGGGCCTTCATATCTGGGAAATATTTCAGCGCGCTCTCCAGGACCCCACTTGGATGTCCTTTGTTTAGTTGGGAGTCTGTAAAGAGGGTTCCATATTCGCCCCTGCCTCTCACTAGCTAGAATATGAGCTTGTTTTCCTACCTAAAAAAATAGATGGTCTTCTAGTTGGTTTTAGGATCGTACAGGCAAATAACTGGCTCTCTTATGTGCTTGCTTACTACCTCTCCACCAACACCGCCACCAGCTTACTACACTAGCCTGCCCTTTGGGCACCAGCTTCCCAAAAGGCCCAGCCTATAGGACTATTTTAATAAGTGTTTCCGTGCGGGTCCTTGTCTAGTTCTTGTTTGTGAGCTCCGGTTTAAGCCTCCAGCCTCACCACCTTCCCTTGCCAAGTGTTAAGCCTCTCGAAGGGTTTAAGCAGAACTGGTGTGAACGGATTGTTTTGTATTGCTGGAGCTATGCATTTTAATATTTCCAACTGCCTACATTTAAAAAAAATAAGCATAATTGTTTAGAAAGGGAAGAAGGGGGAGGGAGGTTATCACTTTGTGACGGGTGTAAATGTCTAGTATGTTGCTTTGTACACATGAAACTAAAAAAGAAAAGGGAAGAAGGTATTTGGGAAGTAAGAGGGACGCTCTACCGTGAAATCTAAATCCTACTCTGTTCCTTGAGTCTACTGCCCAACTAGGAAGGAGCTAATTGGGGTCCACAGGCAGCTTGGATTGGTCTCAGAAGGGTCCTAATTGCAGTGGGTGCCATCTCAATATAAGGAAGGCCAAAACCTGTCCTCTGCACTGCTTGCAACAATCAAAATCTAATAAGCCTACAGCTCACACCACAAAGCATGAGCCAGACAGGCCTAGAGGCTGGTGTGGGACATTTTCCTTTTGCATATTAAAAACAAACATTTAAATGAATTCAAAAGTATTTTGCATCCTTTCTTGGGCTTTCGCGTCTTGAGCTTGCATCCATCTGTCTCCCTGCAGAAGATATATCTGTTTAGAATGTAAAAGCAGACTTCCTTTAAAAAGTAATGCTTATACAAAAGTAACACATATTAAGAATATTTATTATTCAATAACATTGTAAGGGTGACATGACACTGTATCTTCTATTTTGAGATTTAAACTCCTAATTTTTAACACTAGTTTAGCTTGGGACTTTTTGAAAGGGTTTTCTTTGCTCCCCTCCCTTCCTGCTAAACCTTAATGATTCTGTTTACTACACGTTTACTATGCATACCAGTTTCAATGGTCTGTTTACTCTGGGCCAAGACCACCTCCCCCGCCCGCACCCCCACCTTTTTCCTTTGTTCTGCCTCTTACAAGCCTATTCAGTCTTTTGGCCCTGCTGAGAGACGGGATGGCCATTGGACTGGAGTCGACCATCCTCCCAGAATGCCAGCATTTTGAATAAACCTGCTTTTCTTTTCACCAACCACGTCTTGAGTTTTGGCTTTCCTGGGGCAAGCAGCTGGACCTTTTTAGCACAGTAACAATATGACTAACAGAGCAACAAAAACCTGTTTTATTTTTTCCAAATACAGATACAGAAGTTTGCATGTTTTGCAAATATTGCTTCAAAGCAACATTTCTATATACAGGGCCTTCTGTTCTAATAGCGCGTAAACATAGATATGTATCCACAGTGCAATGTTGGCTCATCAAGGGTCCACCTTGCATAAACTCATCACTTAAAGAAACAAAATGATTAGTCAAACCAGAACTGTTTTTGTCAAGGCAATTTTTTTTAAAGGTGTATAGTTTTTCTCAAAAGAAAACTTAGGTAGTGTACATATTTCTAAATGGTAACAGTAATATTTGCAAATAACAGTTTCCAGTGCTCCAACTTGGGGCTAATTCAACTTGACCCAGGAATGAGGATGGAGCCCCTCAACATGGCTTTAAATTAGGGAAACACACTGAGGTTATCAGAAGTAGGAGTCATCCCTGCTTCCCTAAGGATAAAAGTCACAATGAGTGATATGGAATTATTTCTTTACACAACAAACAACCCAATAATAGGCAAAATTAGGGTAATTCAGTTTCTGCTTCCATCTTTGAAAAAGACATGAGATTGACTAAAGTTACAGCTTCCCGGATGTGACACTCAAATTTATTTTCAGGAAAAAAAATCAGTAATCTAATGCTTTGAATCATTATACTGCACAGTTGTGGCTACAGAAAACCATCCTGTTTCTTCCCTTTTCAGACAAGCATCACAATTCTTAAAATGTGGCTGTCTGATAAATTATGCAAAACACAGATGCCATGCACACTCCTTGAGCATTTCTTCCCAAACTAGAAACGCCAACGTTAACAACGGGAAACAGCCTCTTAGAGAGGAATTGTGTCAGCTTTATTACGGATGTCACATCTACATGTATGCCTTCTGATGGGTAAACTACAGCAGGTCAACTTGTCCTAAATTCATGTTATAATCACATGGTGAACAAATTACTAGACAGCGTTCCCTGAAATAGATCTTGGTACAGAGGCCTTCGTGACCACAATGACCTGTGCCTTAGAGCCTAACCATTCCACAGATCACTGGAGATATTGTCATTGCTACTGAGATATTGGCTACTTCACGTTTACATAGTAAATATTTGCAGCATATAACATTACAGATTCAAAAACCCATAATTAACTTGTGTTAATGGACAACTGTGCTTTGATTTTTGCCTTCAGTGATAAGAAAACTAAATGGTGAAACAGGTCACTCCTCAAAGCATGGAACATTTTCTTTAACTCTGCCTAGTAAGGAAAAACAACCATATAGCAATTACAAGTGGAACCGTACGTAACCTGTGAGAGTAACAAATATTGTCTCAAAAGGTACAAACTGTACCTGGACCTTAAGCAGCATAATAATCACCTTTATCTCACAAAATAATACAAACAGGAAATTTAAACTGTTAAAGTATATTAAAACAAGTCTGAAAATGCCACTACTGAACATATACCCTTCCGAGAAGGAAAGCAGCATATGTAGAATCTGAAGTTTGTTTACAATATAAAATAAGGTAAATCCCCAAACCACATTCTTTGTAACAAATCTTTACAGTGAAAGAGTTCAAAATTTTGGGAAACATTTTTTTTGGACATTAAATAGAACTGGGAAGCTGTCACTATTAAGAAGTGGGTAGAAAATGATGTCCTTTGGGTTCCAGACCTTGCCTGCTTCAGTGTGGAATTCCTCCTAGATTCTTATTACAGTGAGATTCCAGTTCCTCTGCAGACTGTATGGGCTCTGCCACAGAAGACACAGCCCAGCCAACTCTGGGATGAAAGCATACAAAACTTGTCCCCGGTACCATGAAGTCATGCAAGAGATGCGGTGAGAAAAGTGAAGAGTCCTAAGAAGACAGGGCAGCCAAGGCCTCTGCTCCTTCCCGACCTCCACAAAATGGTGAAGTCACAACATTCTGGAAAAATGAAAATGATGCCTTCTGCCTAAATTCATGCCAGGCAGAAACCAAATGGCTTGGCATGTGCCCCAACCTGACAGAAAATTCAATTAAATAAGCTGCAAGTTGAATTTATAACTGTTTCCGACGAAAATTTTTTTTGGCTCTCATTCTATCATCAGTGGCACAATTTCAAGTGAAGTTTGTGCAAAAAGACTCACTCTCTATCCAATGATGTGCACAGAAGAAGGGAATCCCAAGAGTCTATTTGCTACCTTCTTGGTAGGCTTAGAGATCAGTGCCCAGCCCTCCAGCAGCCAAAATGGCCTCTTTGTCCAATGTCCATCACATCCCCTGCCCAGATCCCTGAAGTCGGTCGGTGTCACGTGCATTCAGCATGCTAGGTTTATTTATTTAAATATGCGAAGTTCCTCCTGCAGGGGCCCCAGGATTTAGCCCCCATTAGTTCTGGGTGCCCACTTTCATGTTGAGCAGCAGAGCGCGATCTGCTGCACTTTGCCCAGGTCCGTCAGCAGCTGCTTGATGCAATGCTTGAGCTGCGGGAGCCTGGCCAGCGGCTCCGGGGGCTCCAATTCCCCGGTGTAGTCCAGCCAGCTCTCCAACACTGTAGGCAGAAGAGAGAGAGAGAAGAGAAAGACGACTCAGTAAGTCCACAACACTTGATTTGTAAGACTGTCAACAACACAGGCACCATATCCCATCTGACCACTCATGGGAGATGGGAAGGGAGGGCAGCACTGATTCTTCACCCTCTATAGAGTATTAACTCCTAGGTCAAAGCTCAAAAGCTTTAGAGCAGCGCAGTCCAATAGAACTTTCTGCAACAATGGAAATGGTCTGTATCTGTGTACAGTAGCCACTAGCCATAGGTAGCTACTGAGCACTTAAAATGTGGCTAATACAAATGAGGAACTGAATTTAAATTGTATTCAATTTTAATTAAACAGTCACACATAGCTAGTGACTACTGTCACAATAAAGCTTTCCCATCCATGTTGGAAATCAGAGAACCTGGTATTTCAGCTTCCTGTTAAGAAAAATGAGAATCTAAAGGAACTTGAAATAGTCTATTTTTATTACCATAAATTCTGATTTGCTTCATTTTAATTCCTATCATCAGTAGCACAGAATACTCTGATTTTGTCTTCTAAGTATTTAGTGTACGATGTGCAGGTTCTAACGTACTTGATTATAATTGGTTCACTATCTAAAAAACTGTCATGTTTTTCTGAGAGCACGGATTTCTATAGGAAGATGTCTGCTCTTCCCCAGGCATTCCCTGAAGCTCTGGCATTTGGGGAGAGGCCATCTTGGAACTTTGCATCTTTGACAAAAGCCGGCCCCTCCAGGTAGGCCCCGTGCTTACCCCAGCCTGCCTGTAGCCTTTCTAGTCCATGCACCAACCTGTACCGAGGATCTTCTGGACCCTGGAGCCAGAGGTGCAGAAACAGGAAGACCCGTCCAGTGCCTGTTCCTCAAGCAGCTTGCAGTCTCACACACAATCCTCTTCCCTGCTCAGACTCAGCC